TAATTTTATATTTCCTTTCTTTTTTTTTTTTTTACTTGAATTCTTTCAAAAAAGATTTTTCTTTTTTTTTTTTTTTTGTTTAGCCGGGGTTAAATCTTTTCTGTTTAATTTTCTTATTTTCCAATGAAAATAACAACGAACAAATGATAAGATAATGGCCAAGCCAGAATATTCATTGTCATTGTTCGTTTGAATAATATCAGAATGATGACCAGGATAAAATTCTGGAAGAAAAAACAAAAGCTTTTTTGGTTTTTGTTTTTCAGAATCGATAAACAGTTTTTTTGTAGGTTACGTTATATATGGATTTTTTTTAGTTTCTTTTTGCACTTTGTATTTTCATTTTGTTTTTGTGTTGAATGTCATAAATTTTAATTTAAAAAAAAATTGAAGGCAATGTAAATCATTAGTAGTTGTAACTAAGAATATAAGAAGAAGAAAAACAAAACTTACGACAACAATTTAATCTGATTGATGACACACATAAAACTAGCTAAATTCATTACTGACTATGAATATTTGCATCAACAAACTCCTACTTTAAAAAAAATCGATAGTATCGATTTTTATAAATTTATTTTAGCATCCATTTTTTTATTCCCTTTCATTAATATTTTCATTTTGTATTCCTTAATTTTATTTTTTCTCAAATCAATAACAGGCCATACATGAATCACCGGATAAACAGCTTACATTAAATGAAATTTACAATTGGTTTCAAAATACATTTGTTTATTTTCGTCGTAATGCTGCAACATGGAAGGTTTGTTTGTTTGTTTGTTATTGTTGTTTGTTATTCAATGTTGATTATCATTTTCTTTAGAATGCCGTCCGTCATAATCTAAGTTTACATAAATGTTTTATGCGTGTTGAAAATGTTAAAGGTGCTGTTTGGACTGTTGATGAATTAGAATTCTATAAACGACGGCCACCAAAATCGGAAAAAGGATCCGGGTATGTATCGTTACATGATTCTTATTAACTTTTTGAATCCAATTAACCTTAATTAATACGATTAACTTTGTAATTTTGTAATCTTTTCCATAAAATAGAAGCGATGAAGAATTTAATTCATCATTATCATGGGTTAATGGACAAACAGATTTATTACAATCACCAACATTATTAACAAATAGATTATCATCATTACCATCATTGATTAAAAAACCTGGTGCTCGTGGTCGTCCAAAACGTACACCATCATCATCAACAGCATCATCATCATCGACAACAGCAACAGCATTGGCCAAAATTAATGGTAAAAAGTAAGTTGTGTAACCAAAAAAAAAAAACGATTATTTTTATCGTTTTTTTTTAAAAATTCTTGATTGTTGAAATAATTGTTTTGTTGTCCATCACTATCGCGATTAATTGATCCAAATATATTGGTCATTATTATTATTATTTCAATTTAATTTTAAATTGTTTTATGATTTTTTTCCGTAATCAAAAATCAGAATTTTTCTTGTTATTTGATCTCTCGCCTCCAAAAAAAAGAGATTCTGATTTCTTTTGTGAAAATTTAATGGCCTTTACAAACCAACATAGAAAAGAAAAGACATTTAATTCAATCGAATCATTTTTTTATTTCGGGTCCCATACCGATAATGATAATGATGATGATGATGTTTGTCATTGCTTTACAATTACCCGAATCTTTTAATGGCTTTGTCATTTCAATTTTTTACAGAAATTTTGAAAATTGCTTTTTTTCTAAAATAGCCATTCTTTTATTGTTGTTGTTGTTGTCTTCCTTTTTATTATTATAGGACATTGAAAGTCAAAATTCAGAAAAAACAAAACAAAATTCATTTTAGGGCACCACCATCATAGTGATGTACATTATCATAATCTTGATGCTATGGTCTTCTCTGCTGATATTTTGTTGTTGTTGTTGTTGTTGTTTTTCCTATATATTTTTCTTTTTACATTATGATTTTTTTTTTGGAACAAACATTACACCCACCAACATCCACACACACTGAAAATTGATTCGGGATGATTTTATTTTTCTTGGTTTTGTTTTTTTTCTGGGTTTTTCTGGTTAAATTCTACTGGAACTGCCCATTTGGCGTCAACCAAATATAGAATTTTATTTCCCAGTTTTCACAATTGACGACGCCTTCAATGTGATGCTTTTGCGTGTGTGTTTTTTGGTTTGGTGTGGTTATTTGTTGTTTGCTTGGTTGTTTGGTTGTTGTTATTCCATATTTTCTATGGTTGTTTTTTTTTTCTACAAATATCGCCCACATCAATGCATTTTGATGTTGTTTTTGTTGTTTGCATCGACTCGATGATTCTTGTTGTTGTTGTTGTTGTTGTTGTTGTTTTTCGTTTTCCTTTTTTTTGCCCATACAAAAACATCCCTGGATTCATATATTCTGTATATGTGATGCCCGTGTGTTTTTTTTTGCGCATAAACACATATTTTTATATGTACCAAAAAAAAGGGACAAAATCAAAGTCAACGAATATGAACAAACAAAACCAAAAAACCAGAAACAAAAAAATACTACGCATGAATCATAATGATCATCATAATTTTTATTTTGGTTCCATTTAATTCTTTTTTTTTGTTGATCAGCAAAATGTAAGCAACAAACAACATCTATGTTGTTGTTGTTGTTGTTTTTCATAGACCTTACACTCGGGTCCCGTTCTATATATGAACTTAAACCGGATTGGATCACTAAACAAAATATGTTTTTGTTTGGGAACATCCCCAAAAAAAAAAGGAAATTTTTTCTGAGCAATAGAAAAAAGCTTAGTTACAAATATTCAAAAATAGAAAACTGATAACAATAACAACAACAGCCAGAGAGAGAGAGAGAGAGAGAGAGAGAGAGAGATGCTATCATCAATTCCAACATTCATTTTGCAAAATGTCATTGAAATGAAATGAAATGAAATAAGAAAAATATCATACCACAGCACAAACTTTTTATTTTTCTGCTGAAAAAACTAAATTATTATTAGAGAATATTCTTTTCATTCATTGAATTGATTTCGAAAATTCTCGATTCTCAATTCACATTCATTCATTACATCAACCAAAAATGATAATAATAATAATAATCATTATCATTGAATAATAATAATGGAAAAAACAAAATAATAATGAAAATGGAAATGAAGAAAAAATATATTTTTCAAATTCAAGATGAGGAAAAAAAGTTGGAAAAAAATCTCTTTTGTTTTGTCATGAAAATGAGATTTTTTCTGTATGGAAAATGAAAAAAAAAACAGAATATTTTTGTCAATGACGGATGATTCTCTAGGATTCTTATGATAGTCCTCAAGCAAAACTTTTTGTTTTTGTTTTTTCAGGAATCTTCTTGTTGTTCCATCGATCAACGATGATGATGACAATAGAAATTCAATTGATTTTTTTCCCCTTTTGTTTTTCTGTTTCTAATATTCAAACTTCAAACAATTTCGAAATGTATCTTTGCATTAATTTTCTGAATTTTGTTTTTTGATCTCTTCAATTTGCTTCAAGCATCAAATATTTTGCAAGTAATTTTTTTTCGCCTTGTTTTTTATTTCTGTTTGTCATTCATATTTTATTCACCATATATTTCAATTTCACTTTCGTTCATTGATTCCGATCGTTTCGTTTGTCTGTTTGTATTTGTGTAATGTTTGATTAATCAAACAAACGAAAAAAAAACCTTTTTTTCCCCTTTTGGAAATCAATGTCTATTCTTATTTTGGGTTACATTTTTTTTTTGTTCTGGTTTTTTTTCATTCCCGTTAAAAAATATATATAACCCCTACACACCACACACACAATTTCAGTTTGCAAACATAAATCTAATCTATTATTTTCTTTTTTGGATCTACAAATACTGTATATGTGTGTTTGTGTTTGTGTGTGTGTTTTTGGTGTTCCATATGGCGCCCAACCAACCAACAACATCCGAAAAAAAACTACCATAATTTATAATATTAAGTATAATTTTTTTCAATCTTTTTTTTTCTTTTGGAATCTGAATGCTGGTTTCTCGTTTTGGTTTTTCTTTCTTTGGTTTTCTTCACCCCCCAATTTCCAGATTCATATTCATATTTTTGTTTGTGTTGTTTGAGGAAAATCCTTTTTTTTCATATTTTGCAACCATCATTATTATCATACAAATATTTGGTCTCAATGTGATTGATCACCGAATTGTAAAGAATAGAATGAGAGAGAGAGAGAGAGAGAGATGGAAAACTTTTTTCTTATGCAGGAAAAAAAACACGAGATTTTCGATTATTATTATTATTATGGTGAATATGATGATGGTAGTGTGTGTGTATGGTGTGTTTATTTTCGGTTGGATCCTTTTTTGAAAATGAAAAAAAGTTTGTTCAAATCAATATTAATTATTTTCAATGTTTGCCTAATTTTACATTTTTTTAATAATAATAATGATGATTATTGTTGAATCAGTGTTTTGGTTTTGGTTTCTTGTTTTTTGTGCGTGGTTTAGCCACAGAGAAAAAATCAAAGTCTTGCATGTAAGACCAAGCCCTTATTTTTTTTTTATCCTGGTTCCATCATGATGATTATGGAACACGCCATGTTCAAAATTACTAAATGAAACTTTATTATTTCATTACATTTGATGTTTTTTTTGTATATATAATTAATTATGATTAGTGTAATCATTATTATTATGAAACAAACCAAGAAAAAAACCCAAAAGAATCGAATTCAATTTGTTGTTGTTGTTGTTCGTGTTGTTGTTACATAAACATTACATAACTATGTCACAAGCATAAAGTACAACTACAGAATCAGAATCGGGAGAAAAAAGCACATTTCAAAGTTTTTTTTAGTCCAACAAAACTTATTAAGAAACTGAACAAAAAGCCAGGAGAGAAAGAGATTTGTCTTTCCCCCATCCAAAAACAAAAAACATTATTCTAATCACCATTTTAATCATAATCATCATCATCATTGATGGTCGACAATAATCATTCGGTTTGACAAACGCAAACACAAGCAAGCAAGAACAATTTCATTTCATATTCTCGGTACAAAACAAAAACGAAAAAAACAAAATCAGTACCTAAATTTCAAATGAAATTGTAATTGGAATTTCTTATTCTCTTATTCTCTGTTTTTTATTATTATTCTTTGTCTTTTTTGGCTTGTCAATTATTATTATTTGTATTTGTAATTTTCTTGCATAGAATAGCTGTCAATTTATATATATTTTTTTCTCCATTCAGTCTTTATATTTGACATAATCAAAATCCATACATGTTTTTTGTTTTCAAAGAATCTTATGATGATGATTATGAAAAACCAATTTTTTTCCTTTCACTGCTTTCTCATATTGATGAAACAATATTATTCTTGGAATTTTCTTTTTCTGTTTTTTTTGTTCTTCTTTTGCAAATAATTCTCATTAATAATTTGGTACATTGCAAAATTTGGATAAGACAAAAGGGTTCTTTTTCATTGATCCATTTGGTTTTTTTTTTCTTTTCACTCTACCAAAAAAGAAAAACTTTTCTTCCCTCCACTAAATAAATGACATCCATTCTTTTTTTCCACCACTTTTTTCGTGGTTGCTGAAAATCTAACCAGAATAACGAACAAATATTATTCGATATGGAAAAAATATCAAAAATTTTTTTAGCTGCCAATAATAATTATGATGATGATCATTAGTATTCATTAGTATCCGGTTTTGTTTTCGACTTTGAATTCATATATTCTTCCCTATTCCAGGCTAAAATACATACAGAATTCATTTTTGTTGTTGTTGTCAATGTTTGATGATTAGTGAATGTGTTTTTCTGTTAAAATAATGTATATAGAGATTGTTGTTTATTAAAAGTTTTTTTTACTTGGAAAAATAATAATGATAATGATTATATGCTGTGTGTGTTTCAATGATCATTATAAAAAATTTGCCGGAAACTTTGAATAATGTTGACTGGTTTTTTGTTTCTTTGACTTTAAATTTGAATGTTTTTGTTTTCTCTCTTTTTTTTCCAATCAAAATAGAAATTCAATATCCGATACGGTTTTAAATCATCCGCATCATCCGCATTCAACATTTCCATTTTCAAATATTTTACAATCACCATCAACAACAACATCATCATCGGCTGTAATTGCTGGAGCAATGAATTCATTACCAACATCATCATCATCAACAGCAACAAATTCTGTTTTATCAAATTTAACTGGTTCATTATTGAAAAATGGTTCATCATCATCATCGACAGCAGCAGCAGCAACAACAACAACGGCATTAACATATCCTGATTCAATTGCTGCATCAGCTTTAAATGCATCACTTCAGGTAAATATTGTCTAAATGCTGTTTGGTAACTGACTGATTAATATGTTTATGTTTCCACCATCCGAACATCCAGGCATTAACCGAATCTGGTTTATCACCATTTTTAGCAAATTTTCCATTTCCATCAACATTAGATCTTATTGGTTCGGCATCACATTTAAATGATCATCATTCATTACAAATGAATAATGCGACAGCAAATCTAAATAATTGTGGTTCATCATCACAGGCATTAATATCGAATGGAATTATTCCATCATCATTCAATGGTAGACAGAATTCACCAATCAATTCTTCAATCATCAATACTGATTGTACAACAAATGCTCAATTATCAATGAATCATGAATCAAATCATCATCAACAACAACGACAACGTCGAACAAATCGTCGTAAATCAAATCGACCATCATTATCATTATCATCACATGAAGCATCATTTTCTGATCTTGATGATGATGATGATGATAATATGGATGATATGGATGATGTTGATTTTGTTGGACATAATCATCAAGAATCATATGATTTAAATGATGCTAATATTGATGATGATGATGATATTTCATCATTTCGTAATCAAAAATTAAAACGGCCAAAATTATTTGCTACAAACAACAACAACAACAATGATGTTGATGATGATGATGGATTCGATATGAATTATAATGTTAATTTTGATGATGATAATGAACATATCAAACATTTAGATGATGATGATGATGATGATGATGATGATAAATTAATCAAATCTATTGAACAATTTGGTGATCCAAATATGGTACATGATTTATCTGTATCAAAATCATTATCAACATCACCATCAAATAATAATAATCATCAACAAAAAGATGATGAACCATCATCATCATCGCCATTACCAATGACAACATTATCAAAACAAGAAGATGATAATAATAATGATGATGATTTAAAACAGGAAACTATATCGACTCAATCAACAGCAAATGATAAAAAAGATTGTGAAGTAATTTCATCTTCATCACAGAAACCATTAATGAATAATAATGAATCGACGAATGAAAAACTTTCACCATCAAGTACAACCAATGATGTACAACTTGATTTTGATGCTGAAAATACTGAAGAATCGGATATTAGTGATGGTGATGATGATGATGATGATTGATTGATTGATCAGATTCTATTCACAAATCAATATGGTTAGTAATTTTGAAATTTCAAATCATCAATCTAATCAATTTCTTTGAATTATATAGAATATTCGTTCATTAACATCGTTTATCCCGTTCGGTCGAAAATTTACATTTCATTTTTTAAAGCAAAAAAAAATTCAACAAACGAAACATAACAGACAATAACATTTACCAAAACAAACAAACCATACAACCATCTATCTACCTGTGTATAAAATTTTCTTCTTCTTTTTCTTCTTCTTTTCAGTTAATCAATTTGTTTTTGGATTTAATTTAGCGAAAAGAAAAAAAAAACAAAAGTTTTCAAATTTCTAATTGTCAAACATCAAACATCAAACACTTTCATCATAAAACTTTTTTCATCATCACATCTATATATTCATCTAATCAAAGATTAGGATTCTTTTATTTTATTTCAACTTTTCTCTGTTTTTTTTTGTTGTTGTTGTTAATTTTCTTTTTTTTCTAATTTTTGAATTCCAATTACCTTTATGTTTTTATGTTTTTTCAAATTTTTAGGCTTCTTTTATTTGTTTATCTTAATTATTTTTCAAATTTTTTTTTCCTAATTTTTACAATTCGTTTAGTAATTCATCATCATCACTTGAGTCATTATATCAACAAAATCGCTACACGTTCATTGAATAACGTTCATATGTTACATGCGAAGAAGAAAATTTTCTGTATTATAAATAAAATAAACCAAACGTAAACAGTACATTTATAATCATCATCAACAACTACAACTACAATTCATTAAAATATTCATTATTAATGCTGGATTATAATTATCAATTAATTATAATTATATTATTATTATTATTGTAATTCCATAATTTTCTTCTTCTTCTTTCTTTTTTGAATATAATTTGATTATTATCATTTGATTATTATAATTTATAAAATATAATCTAAAAATGAAAACCAAATGAAATAAACCATTGATAATTTTATCAGAACAAAATTTGGATTTTTGTAAAAAAAATTTGCTCAAATTACCCATCACCCATTTGTTTTGTTTTGTTTTGTTTGCCATTCAATTTCATTCATTTAAACATATAAAATTTTGAAATTGTTAAAAAAGCCAACAAATCAATTATGGATAAAACCAGAATGATTATCATCGATATGGATTTATTACTGTGATCACCATTGTTATTGTTATTTTGCTGCTGTTGTTGTTGATGATTTTGAAATGAACATTCAATTTTCCGTCCATTCAATTGTTGTAATTGACGATAATTATTACCGATCGGTTTACCCGGTTTATGATCGATTACATCTTTGAATTTTTCATACTTGTAGAAAAGTAGAAATTAGTTCAGGTCAAAACACATCAAAAGCGAATCTTATTTACCTGAATGAAACCAATTTCATTTGGTTGATTCATAACTAACCATGTAACATTTGTTGTACATGGTGGTGTTGTAAATGAACCATGATAACGATAAAAATTTCTAGTATTTTTTGGTAACAAAAATTGTAATATTAATCGATCTTGTAAATCAATGGAATAATTTGTATGTGTTGTTTGTAGATGTTGAATTTTTTCACTTATAACATCAAAATCTGGATTATTTTGATTTTGAATATCGAAAAATATAGCCAAAACAGCTACATTTTCATTACGTGATTGTAATGCCTGACTAAATGATTGATATTCATCATGGTTATAATGAACAAGATGCATCTGTGGTGTTTGAATGAAAGAGTAAAGGATTAATAATTGATAATTTCAACAATAACAACATCAAATACTTCGATTGGATAAATATGATTATCGATACGATGTTCGGAACCAAATTTCGGTTCTAATCCCCAATGAAAATGAAATTGTTGTAATGCAAATTCTTTACCATTTAATGCTGATCCAGTTATCATTGGTACCATAATCGAATCACCAATATAATCAAATTGAACTGTATTTTTTTCGGATGAAAATGTATTTTAACATTTTCACATCATTCAACAACATCTCACATTACCTGAACGTCCATGATTAGTAACACGATAATTAGAGCTTGGTTGATTATAATTATGAAATTCAATTTTTAATGAATCATTCAATATTAAATCATTATGATTTATATTGATTGGTGATTGAAAATGATCACTACATTCTTTATTATCAATGGACCATGCTTTTTGATCTATAATAAACACAATCAATCAATCAATCAATTGTTGTTGTTGTGATTTTACTTACCATCATATGTCCATTTTTGAAATGTATCAACTTTTCTATTTAATAATATTATCAAAATGATTATAAATTGCATAACTTTATTATTCATCATTTTCAGTTGAACAATTACAAACAAACAAACAAACGAATGGCCATATTCTTTTTTCTTGTTAAAATAGAAAAACGACATTTTGTTAAGATGAATCAAATCAATGGAATTTGTTATCGATTCAAATCTTATGATGAATTTTTTCTCATTATAACATATATTGCCATGTTTTTCTTCTATGTTTTTTCTGCTTCTTATTCTCATCGGTAGATTTATATGGAAATTTTCATTTTAATTATACATTTTATGTTTCTCACATATTATTTCGAAACAATTTGTCTATTGTCAATTGATTTTGGATCGATAAATTCGATCAAAAATCAATACTTTTTTCCCCATTGATAAATTATTTCGCAAGCGAATTGGAATTAGTCTAGCCATTTTTTATTAAATAAAAAATTTCATTTTTTCCCCTTGTTTGAATTGTGAACAAAAGATGGCGATATTGGTACCATTTTTCAATGAAAAAATCAATTATTTTTTCCAATCGAAAATTCATTATGTTGACAACGTTTCAACCAGCGATTATCATTTGTTTGACACAATGATAATGACAATTGACAACGACAACAACAACAACAAACATGATTAACATCATGATAATCATTCTTGTCTATTTTGCTTTTCATGTCGACAACATTCCCGACCAAAAAAAAAGCAACAACAACAAAATACAGTGTGTAATGATTCAATGGAATTTTGTCCATGGTGATTATTATTATTGTTATTATTGTCAACTGATTGCCACAAATTAGAATCGACTTCGATGAATTTGTAAGGGGGATGTTAAACGAATCTAAAAAGAAAAAAAAATAATACCCATTATACCAGATGGACCTATTTACTTACACACACACAGACACAATTATTATTATTATTATTAGCCAGCTTAATTCTCGCCCAGAACAAGAAATCCATTAATGAATGAAGCATAAAGAATTCTATTTTTTCTCTCGGTGCAAAGAATCCAGAATTAGTGAATGAATTGAATTCTAGTGTTTAGTTTACTTACTATAGTATTTTCGTTTTTCACACACACAAACACACACAAACACTATATGAATAAAATATTCTGTATGGCTTCTAATCTATTATTCTGTGAATGTCATTCTGTAATCTATTTTTTTTCTTTTTTTCATCTATATTACATTCTTTTACTTTATCATGATGATCATTATTTGGTTTTCTTCATCTCCCGGTCCTGTCAATTAAGGAAATTCAATTTTTTTTCTTGACGAAGAATTTTTTCCAAATGAATTCTGTATATATCCAAACAGAAAAAAAGAGAGAAGAATTTTCTTCTCTCTTCACTATCCATGTCAAACTAACTGACTTTCATTTTTATTCTTTTTATTTTTTTTGTTCCGTTTGTTTAAGCTGCTGATGCTTTTGGCAATTATATAATGATGATGATGTAGGATGATGATGATAAAGTGTTTATAAATGGAAAAACCGATGATGATTGGATGAGGATGTGGATGGATTAGGCGAATTCGATAATAATAATAATAATATTTTATTGAACATGATCATCACATCTGTGTGTGTGTGTGTCAATAATCATTTGGCTTTTCACAAATTCAAATGATGTTGATCACTACACTACACAGAATAATACCTAGTGCAATGCAAAAAAAAGAAATTCATGACTTTTGAATGAATGAACGAATGACATGCGTCAAGCGAACCAAAATAACAAAATATTTTAGCGGCCAGTTTTTTTTCGTTTGTTTTGGTTTGTTTTGCCGAAACGAAAAAAAAAACAAAAATTCCGAATTTCAAACATCCATAACATAGCACATCAAGAATCCAGAATCCAGAATCCTCGCATATTCTAATGATCATTGTTATTTTTGGTTGGTCGGTTGCATTTATTGTTCGATCGGTTTTTTTTCGCTTGTTGTTGAATGTATGGAACCCAAAAACAAAAATTCTACAGTGAAACGTTTGTTATAACATTGTTCAGAAATGAAATGAAAAAAAATTCTTTATGTTAAACAATGATTTTCCTGTATAAAAAAATATGTTTACGCGTGTGTAAGTTTTACTATACCAGAACCAGAGCCAGAATCGGAAAAACAGAAACAACCAAGGGACAACATCAGCAATTTTTTTTCCTTCTCAACGATAACAGAATAACCGCTTCAAGCTTAAAGAAATAAAGTTTTTTATTTTATTTTATTTTTTTTTGATAAATGCCGAATAAACTTTACCGTATTCTATGCCTCCACTACAACACTATGTAATAATTCCAAAATGGAACTATGTTGATAAAGAAAAAATAAAACTTTAAAATAAAATTCTTTTACATAAATGAATGGTTGGTTGGTTGCAGAATTTCCCAAAAAAAAACTAAACATCAATATCCATACCACTGCTATTTTTTTTAAATAAAAAAAAAATCGAAGAATTTTCCTTTTTTTCTCATCTTTGATTAATGTTCTTGGAGGTTCATCGAGTTTGCGTTGATCCAAAAATTTATCCAGAATTTTTATTTGTATATAGAGTGTGAAAAAAATGAGGAAATTCTGTATATTATGCGTTTATGTGTGTTTTTTGTCGTCTGTGATCCACCGTTCATATGTAATGATGAACATTACAATCGATACTATCAATTATTCTGACTGCTACTACTACTACTACTACTACTATTCTTATCAACATACAGAATATAGTAGTAGCATTATCTAAAAGTAATTACCTTACATTCTTTATCTGTAAAAACTTTACTGGCTCCTTTTTTGTTGTTGTTGTTGTTTCAGGATCAGTATAAATTTTTTTTTGGTTTGTTGTTGTTGTTGTTATTGTTGCTGAATCCACAGAATTCAGAATCCAACAAACAACGCAATGGAATAAAACAAGTTTTTGCGCATCATTTTTTTTTTTAAAAACAAAATAGACGACAATCAATGTGTGCGTGTGTGTGATGTGTGTTGTGTAATGTCAATTATTGTTGACGACGACGACGACGACGACGACAACGACAACGACAACGATGATGATTTTGATAGCTGGCAATTACAGCATCATACCAAACAAGACCAGAATATACATGAAGAACAACAAAACAAAACAAAACAAAAAACCAAACCAAACCAAAACCGACACAATGTTTTGTTTTTGAAAAAAAAAACAAACAAAGACTAGTGATTTCTTGTCCGGAATCTTATTCTTCATATTATCAACCACATCATCATCATCATCATCATCATCATCAAGTTACCTGCCGTCCAGAATTCTACTTTTTGTATTCGATAAAATTAATGCGGTGAAATCTGTGGCAACAACAACACCAACAAAAATTCTTTGCATTTCTCATCAGATGTTTGAATATCGTTTTTTCTAAATCTGTTTTCATTTAATCATTTGAAAATTTTTATACTTTTTTTTTCATTTGGCAACAAAAAAAAATTCATCAATCTCAATAAAAACTTTTCCCAAGAAAAAATAAACCATTCTTCATTCTGTGTGTCAACTTTTTAAAAAAAAAATCTTTTGTTTTTGGTGAAAATTTTTCTATTTCTAACGATTTGGATGATGATGATCCTTGATGTTGACATTGTTGTTGTTGTTGTTGTTGTTTTGTTGAGGAATTGAAATAGTGGAAAATCCAACAGAATATATTCTCTATGGACTTGACACTATCGTCATTTTTTTTTTGTTTTCATTCTGACTTTTTTGTTGAAAAAATAATAATAATAATAACTGTTGTTTGTGACATTTTTGTTGTTGTTTCATCCATGTTTTTTGTGTGTTTCAAATCTTTTTTTCTTCTTGGTTGAAAGAAAAAATCATAAAGTGGAAAACGTTGTTAAAAAAAATATAGAAATTTCTTCTTCTTTTTTTTCACTTTGTAAATTGATCAAACAAAAAAAAAATAAAAACATACAGAATATTCTTTTTCTAACATCAAAACTGGATGATAATTGTGTGTTGAAATAGAATCGAATATTATGACGGAATATAAAACAAAGTTAAAATAGTCATTTTTTTGGACAAGAATGTTTTTTATTTTCTCACGTGATTCTGCCATCATTTTTTTTCAATGTTGTTTAAAATGAATATTAAAAGCAACTGGAAACAAAAATCTAATTACGAAAAAAAAGACAAATTTCATGTGACGATGATGTTAATCAATTTGAATAATGATGATTGATTTTTTTAATCACTAAAAATGCTAATAAAATAATAATAATGTTTGGGTGATGTTTGTTCGTAACAACATAATCAACAACATTGGTTTTATATTGTTTTTTTCGTTTCTTGTAACAACAACCATAAATTTGACATCCAAAACATCCAAAATCATCATAATAATATTAATGGAACTAATCAATGAAAAAAAACATACAAACAAACATTCATTAATTCATTTTTGGAAGCTAATTAATTCTTCAATTTCTAAAAGTTTTTTCGAAATGGAAATAAAAACAAAAACAGCAAAAATGAAATGAAATGAGACAAAAACTTTATGATTCCATTTAGACGAAGAAGAAAAAAGAAGAAGAAGAAAAAGAAGAATTGGATGTGACTGAAAAAAACTGAACTGAATATTTTTACTTGTTTTTTTTTGAATGAAACTTTTATTCAATTCGATTCTCTATGGGAATTTTCATATATTTATTTATGGGTTTTTTCTCTCAAACACACACACATCAATATATCGATTTTCAATGAAAAGTTTTGGCATCCATCACACACACAATAGTTATATATACCGTCTTCTTCGTCGTCGTCATTATTATTATTATTATTATTTATATGAACGTCATTGCCGCATCCAAAATAGTGTAGAATAAATATTTTTGGAACATCCAGAATTTTTCGTTTTTGTTGTTGTTGTTCGTTGTTCGAAATGAATAAATTTGAATATAAAATTATGTTATTTAGAAGAAGAAGAGAGGATACTGCTATGGATTGTGTTCAATGAATTATGTAACAGCAGATTTTTCCAAAAACTTAAATTCGGTTATCTGCTGCTGCTATTGATCGCCAATCGACAACAATAATAATGATAATAATTTACAGATATTCAATATGAATCAATGATACAAACAAACAAACAAACAAATGTCAATTGAAAAGTTTTTTTCGCTGTTGTTCTTTTCTGTTTCTGTTTTCTCTCTCAAAAAGTAGCAACAAAAAAGAAGTGCCTTGTATCCATCGGATGTTTGTTTGATTTTTTTTCAATTCGTCGAAATTTAAATTTCAATTGTCACCAACACAACAACAACAACATCTGAATAGTGTTTGTGTGTGTGATCATCATCATTACAGCCAGCCCGAAAAGAAAGCATCCATTTCCGTTGTCATTTTTTTCTCGTCAATAATGATTACCCGTGGATGAGTTTTTTCTCTTTTTCTTTGTGCTGTTTTTTTTCTATTTTCTCATTATTTCCGTTTCAAATCAATGTTGATGAAAACAATGTGCTTTTTTTATTGCTACTTGAATTTTAAAAGTTAAAAGTTTTATTCTTCTGTGTTTCTTCTGTGTGTTCAGTGTCAATTCTGTGTGTGTGTTTGTTTGTTTGCTTGTTTATTGTGTTGTTGTTTTATTCTGTAAAATTCTGGTGCTACATATTTTCAACATGTCATCCCTCATTCAATTGAAGAACATTGTATAATTTTTTTTTTTTTTTTGAAAAAAATGAAATTTTACCATCATACATCCATCAAATAACAAAATCAAGTTCTGAGTTGCTCAATTCTATTAAACCAAATAAGAAAATAGGCCTATGGAAAAAAAGAAAAGAAAAGTGGAATATTCCCTTAAGAAAATAATTCCATCATCATCATCATCTGAAGAAGAAGAAGAAGAAGAATATTCTTGATGTGTGTGTGTGTCGGGCACGCATTCACATAAAGTTTACTCGTCATCAACTTTTTTTTTCTTGAATAATAATCATTTCTCTCAAAATAATAATAAGTATTATGTGTGTGTGTATGTGTAAGACACCAACAAACGAAAGAAAAAATCATCCTCCAGTCATGTCCAAAACATTCATCAAAAAAAAAAACGAAAAAATTCTGTTCAGAATAAAAAAAAGAATCTAAAAGTCTTTTACGGTTGAAAAATTTCTGATGATGTTCATCATCATCATCATTTGTTGATGTTTGATTAAGTTGATCATTCATAATGATGATGATGATTATTCTTAAATTATCTTTACATTCATTTTTTCATTTGGAAATTCAATCAAAAAAAAAAAGAAATCTTCAAGTACCAAAAATGAATAATTTCTTCTTTAATCAAAATCCAATTCAGAAATTTCATAATAATCTTTTTTGATTGAATAAATTTTTTTTTGTAAAATAGAAATTCTTAATATGTTTTCTTCTTTCATTCGTCATTCAGAAGTCATTCCAAAAACTAAATAAATAAGTAAAATTGATTATAATGTAAAGAAGGAAATTTCCAAAATATAAAACATATAAAATCATATTCAATAATCAATCAACGAATCAACGAAATCATCATCATATTGATGATGATGATGATTATGGAAAAAAGCAATATGAATATCATTATTAAATCATCAATCTGTCATGATGATGATAATAGTAATAATCAAAAATATTGGCCAAAATATCGAAAAAAATATGTACGATTTAAACAATTTTTTGATAAAAAACAATCAAAAATCATTAAAAATCATCATTATTTAGCAACCAGAAATAATGATGATGATATTCATAAATTCAATAAATCATTAGCAGTTTGTCTAACAACAACAACAACAACAACAACAAAATCATTCTACAATCATAATCAACGAACAATAACGACAAAAAATTTATTCAATCAAATATGGGCAATAATTTTTCTAAATATTTTAAATATTCAACTTTTGTTGACAACATTTTCGGGTAAGTTGTTGTTCGTTCTTCATTTTTCCTATTGCTTAAGAATCCAAATTATTACAGTGTTTTGTTCTCTTTCTTTTCACACTATGTTAATTCTTGTGGAATAACATTTTTTGACAAGCTAGAATTTCATCATTTTTCTAGGAACATGACTGTAGAGAAAAAGGAAAGAAATAAAAAACTAGAAACAAACAAACAGAAAATTTATTTGTCTTGAAATTGTTGTTGTTGTTGATGAAATTCAAGCCCTATAGGCACACGATGATTCAATGTTTAAAGAATTCTTTAAAGAATTTTTTTTAAAAGAAATTTTCAATTTTCTGTCTTGATTGTTGTTGTTGTTGTTGTCATCATTTATATAAAATGACTTTACTTTTACTGTTTTTGGTGTTTGTTGTGTTGGATACAGAATATGTGAACGAAATGAATAATTTTTTTCCTGTTTCTTAATATATTCCATAGATAAATAAATAGATCGATATGTCAAATTGAAAATTGAATACGTGATCTTTATATACAACTAAAAATGTCATTATCTTTTGATCAAGTCATATGTAGAATAATATGTAGAATATAGCAAGAATCAATGGAAAAAAAAATATATTCTTTTCATTATTATTTTAGAATATTCTTGCTCTTCTTCGTCTTAAGATGATGATGCTTATCTTATTAAAGAAAATTTTTTTCCCTTCTCTTTCTCACTTGCTCTTTTCCATTTTTCTGTTGTTTGTTTGTTGTTTGAATAAATTCATATATGAATGAAATGAATGAATAATCTATGCCATCCATCCATAGACACAATAAATTGATCTTTTTATAAAAAATGTCCATCATATAATAATCATAATAAAAAAGCATACTTGATGACAACATATAGACAGACAGACAATCGTTTGATATATTGAATATATATTGAAATTTGAATGACTTGGAATGTTTGTTCGGTCGTTAAGAAATCTCTTTTTTAAGATTATACTGCAAGAATATTCAGTAGAGAGAGAGACATTCTATGCATATTATTATTATCATCAAACATGGCTATAAACACCCACACAAACACACATATATAACAATCATAAATATCGAAAAAAAATAATAATAATTTTGTCATATTGATGACCAAATATTTACTTAAGATTTATTTTCTTGTTGTTGTTGTTATTGTTGATGCTCAACTTTGTCTGTCATGTGTGTGTGTGTGTGTGTGTTTATCTAAGGAAAAGTGCAAAAATTACATTTTTATTTCCTCGTATTGCGTATTTTGTGTCATATTTCTTTGTGCTCAAAATTAATTAAATATTCTTGCAGTTAGTTGCTTAGTTGCTTAACATTGGATATCATCATCATTGAAAAGCGATGAAAATCCTAGAAAATTTCATCTTTTTGATTATATAAAATCAATTATTGATGATCAATTGTTATTCATCATTTGAATTTGATATCAATTGATTGATTAATTTAATCAACTTTGCAAAAAAAAAGAAGAAGAACACTTTGCACACAAACCAAACAAACAAACCAAACCAAACATACCAATCAAACCAAACAAAGAATCTATACAATGTTATTTTTCTAATGTTATTTTTCTTCAGTAAGAACCAACATAAAACAATGATGTTTGCCTTTTCGTTTTCTTTCGTTTTTTTTTTTGATTACATCATCTTTGGTTGTCCATGTTTGTCTTAGTTCTTTTCGTTTTAACTAATCATCAATTCTGTTTTTCTTTCATTTGTTTTTATCGGTTTGTATATTCGAAATAGCATTTTTGCTGTTGTTGTTGTTGTTGATTAAGCTTCGGCTTGAAGTTTTCTTCTTTAGTTTATATTTTGGTTATTTGTTTTTTTTTTGTTTTGTTTTGTTTGTTTTCTTATCGTGTGTTTGACGACTTATGATGATGATGATGATGACCACATATAAACTGACCATCATCATCATCAACATTGATGTTATTGTTATTTAGTTTTGAATGAATGAATAAATGAATGATGTCTATTGATCGATTCACACTGTTCCTTAGTCAATAATAATAATAATACTATTTGCAGAAAAAAAATACCCAAGAATATTCTGTTTTGAATCTAAAATTCAATGGAAAAAAACAGCAACAACAACAACAGCGAAATTCATTGATAAAGAATAAAATTTTTCATATGACAAAATAGTAATTATATTATTCTTGGTAGCCAACCAACAACAAAAAAAATGAGAATAAGAATAAGAATCGTAAATCTCTTTATTTATTTCTTATTTTGATTTTGGGTATTTTTTTATTTCGTTATTTTTGTTGTTGTTGTTGTTACCATCATCATTATTAGATATGAATGGTAATCAAGAATATAAAGAATATGAAACAAGAAACAACAACAACAACAACAGAAAAACTAATAAATAATGGCCACCGGTCATTGTGTGTGTATGTAGAATGTGTGTGATATATTAAGAATCCACACACACACACACAATAATCCCCTTTACGTTTCAATGACTTTATTCTTTGCAAATTCTTTGATTCTGTTTTTTTGTTTTGTTTTGTTTTGTTTTCTGTCGTATACCAAATGTGTGAAATTGTATTATTTTCGATTATTCTTTCTCTCTTTCTCACTCACTCTCTCGTATTGGCAGCTCCATTAAAGTAATCATCGATTCTTTTGCTCTATTTTTCTTTTCTTATCATCACCACCATCATCATTACAATATTAATGTTTCGTTTTTTTTCTGGGGATTCATTACGAATTGTGAACCATATGGAGTTTTGTTTCATTTTTTTCAATGGAAAAAATGTTTTTTTTTCTGCTGAATGTGCTGAAGCCATTCGTTTTTTCATTTCAAGTTTGACCTTTTACAATTCTAAATTCATTCATATATTTTTCTTCTTCTTTTGTTTTCCAAAAAAAAATATGAAAATATAAATCCATCGAATTAATAATTCTGACAAAACAGCCAAACAAGAATTTATGGCTTTTTTTTTGTCGACTGTTGTTGTTGTTTTGTATAATTTCAAAGATTGATTTTCATTCTCATTATATATTTTCTCTGGTTGTCAACCAGAAAAAAAGAAGGCGTATTTTCGGTTTCCTGTATAATATTCTCGAATATAGATTAACATGAGCGAAACAAATGGAAAAATGTCAAAGTTGAAACAATAGAAATACAAGGGGGAAGGGGAGAAAAAAGAATATGGAAACAACGAAAATAAATGACCAACCAATAATAACCATAGAAAATTTATGACCCTTATATTTTTTTGGTAATGAGAATTTCAAATGGCCATTTTATGGTTAACAAAAAAAAAATTGTCAAAATTTATTTTCCACTATTTTTTCCCCCCCTGTGTTTCTGGATGATGATCCACCAATAATAATAATAATAAGGAAAACAAAACATGTGTAATGTGAATAACAACAACAAAAAACGATAAATTTTTTTTTTGTTTTCTCCAAAAGAAAGAGAAAACTAATCTAGTGATACAAAATTGTTCCTGAAAAAAAATATATCCATCATTCAATATTAGTTCCAACAAATTGATGATGATGATGATGATTTACTTTGTGGTTTTCATATATGATCATAAAAGTTGTGTGTGTTTCAAAACAACAAACCACCATCATCATATTTGTTTTGGGGGTGTATGTCACTTATGGTGTAGTATCCATATGTGTCCCATATTTGTTTTTCGAAATCAATTATAACACTGATGATGATGATGATGATGATCCATAAATTTTCATAAATAAAGTTATTCTGGTTTAAAAACTATATTGGTTTTTCCTGGTTAACAAACAACAGTAAATTATATTTAGATATAATATCTGTCACATGCAAAGGGAAAAACAAAAAAGTTTGTTTAAAAAAGAGAATTTTGAACAAACTTTTTCTTCTTCTTCTTCTTTTTGAATGACATTAACTTTGTCATTGGAGGGTTTTTCTATGGGATCTATGATTGGATATTCAAAATAATTTAATCAAAAATCCATGATGATGATAGTAACGTAGTGTGTAGGTTGAATGGATGGATGGCTGAATGGTTCCATCGTATTTTTTGGATACAAACAAACAAAAAAAGCTCATTATTTTAACGGTTCACTGTTATTCTATGATTAGTTAAACTTTTTTTTTTGAAATGATAATCAATGGCGGAATATTCTGTGCGTAGTAAGCAGCCAATGGCTATTGAATTTTAATCGAAAAAAAATTCTGTTTTTTTTTTGCCATAAGCAATTGATCGATATTTTGATTCAATGTTGCTGCTGATTGATGTCTTTATCACTGAACATTCATAAAATCTAATAATAATCGTGTGTGGGATAATATTTCAATCTTTTCGGTTTGGTTTCATTTGATTTGATTTTCCATTGAATTTAAACACAATCTAACCCCAAATAACATCAAACAACAACAACAAAATTAAGCGGATTATTTAACTGGAAATAAAAAAACTGTCTTTATCCTTTGGAATCTATTGATCGTTTAACTTTTTTTTTCGTTTTCGTTTATCGAAAATGAAAAATGTTTTTTCTTTCGAAATTAAGCTTAAAATTTTCAAAGGAAAGCCTTTCACGTTTGTATTTTCGTTACTTTGATTGGTTGATGAATATGAAGATGTTTTTTTTTGCGGGAATATTTTTGTCATATCAGTTTAAGCTTATTGATATGTGTGATGTAAGCATCTTTTTTCCATCCTGCTTCTGTTGTTGTTGTTGAAAAAGCTGATTGCCTAAATTTGGCTGATGAAAACATCTTTTTTTCTTTCTTGGTTGAGAAAGAAAAAAATCCAATTCCATATCGATATGTAAAATTTTTTCATTTCACTCATTCACTTTCACATTCTCCATTCCATACTTTTTCCCTGGAATCCACTTTATATGAGTAATAGATAGTGATCGAAACGAAAAAATCTAATCTAATCTCCATTTAATGACATTGTCGCCCTTACATGTTTTTGCTATATTCATTCATTTTTCTTCAAAATTCTGTAAAAAAGAAAATTTCAAAAAAAAGAAACG